AGGGATGTTCCTTTGTCTACCTGAGAAACTGTATATTTTGTCCGCTTTCTTTGTCAGTCATATTCATAGTGAGATGATGTCACAATGGGAATGAGATCTGGAGATTTTTGTAGTCTTCTTTCTTTGCTTTTCACCTCCCTTCTCACCCAATCTCTCCCGACCCCCTTTCCCAACCTTTCTCTTTCACTAAACATGATAATAAACATAAACATGCGAACCAATTATTGAAGTTGTACAAGTTAACCTTGCGATTTTAATTTATTCGTCGAAATATTATCATAACTGCGTTTTATTACTTATAAGTAACTTAGGAGATAGCATATGTGTAAATGACCCCTAAATATCCACAGATCTTTTACACATGGAGAGGTACCACTTTGTGCATTTAAGAGTATGGCTTATCAATGCCATGGTGATGAAGGTGCTTTATGAATACCTTGTGGTTGCCCTCTTGAAAAGAGTTCATTCCACCTGTGTATCATAGAATGTACCACCGGTGCATAATTTAGCAATGATTACAGAATATTCATTACACCTTGTGTTTTTCCTCTTGAATTTTTTTTTCCACCTGTGTATCATAGAATGTACCGCAGGTGCTTAATTTAATAATGATTACATAAATTTCATGAACTCGTGTCCAGCAGTCGTCACGATGGGTTTCAAAGTTTTGCACAAAATTAACGACCTCTATCTACCGATGCGCAGATACTAACTCACACGTGGCTTATTCACAATCTTTTATGATAGTAATTTGTGTTAGAGTGTAGACAATTGTGCTAATTAAGTTGTAACAAAAAATGTTTCTCTTTAAATGCACGTTGCCATAAATTGATTATATATAATTATACTACATCAATTTCTATATCCGTCGCTCCGAAAGCAGAGCTATAGAAAATAGTAAGATAATATAGTAATACGATGTTGCATCAAAAGCTATTACTGCATTAATGTACAACACATTTAAAGTTACTTTGAAGTAAGGTTAGCTAGAATGTAAATCAACGTAAATCATATTCTTGACAATTGATGCGATAACATATCGACTATCAATGGTTATAAATGATAATATTTAAATAATACTATATCATTTACGAAACAAACAACTGCCTCCGTTGCCTTGCTATAACTAGGCAAATGGGAGAAGGCATTTACCTTTCCGAGATATATTCATGATCATATACTTATACAAAAATATTTTTCCTCATAGTTTTGAAAGACTCGGCACAATAAATGACAAAGCAATAAGTTTGGGCACAGGGTGCTCTCGTTTGTTCAATTAGATTACATGTTGAATTTAGTGATAAATATTTTTTGTACAAAATTACAATAAACTATATACACGGACGGTTCACATTAATCACAATGACAATTCTCATAGAATTGTAATACCAATCACCCTTCTGGAAAAAACCTAAGTTAACGAAGGGAAAGTCTAAGCTTTTTAATCATGTTTAAAGCCCTAAATTCATGGGGCTAGGTGTGCAATTCTATTTATTGATTAGAAAGAATAGCTATCGTCTAATATAGCTACAATTAAAACAAAAATTGTCTAATTATTTTGAAATTAAGTTTCGGTGATGAGTACTATCCAAAAATATCTCATTTGCATTTCTGTCAAAAGGGGCATCATGCTAAAAAAAGAATGGTTGCCATATATCTACTAATTAGGGAAAAAAAGATAAACTCACGCCATAAAACTTGTATATTTGAAACACGGATGTAATGGAAGGACGCGAATCGATTGGGATAATCATAATCCATACTCTGGACTGCTAACCAAACGATATATTCTCCACATCACTTCACTGTGCATCTACACGTTTTGACCCTTTTGAATGGCGCCTACTTTTGGCGTAATCACGTGATCATTTCCTGGGCAAAGCCTACATCAGTTCTGTTCGTGTGCCTTTGCTGAATGGCACCGGAATACTCTCAGAGTGGTTTGTATATATATATAATCTATGACTTGCCCACCAATAAAATCTTTTTAAGATATTGCCTCCAACAGAAAGTACTTGATTATGGAAAGTATGCCCATCAAAATACAGAAAAATATAACATAAACATTGTGAAAATTAGAACCAAATGGTTTGGAAAAGGTATGTGACGGCTCCATTAACGCATTTTATGCTTATTTCTTATCATAACTTACTGCAAAACCGGACCAGAACGCAAAAGATTGGGGACTTTTAGATTCGCACGAAGACAATAGGTCTATGCTACGATCGACGTCCTGTTAATGCACTGCCGTGAATGGACGTCACACGTATCAGTCCACGCAAATCTAAAAGTCCCTATTATCATTGAGAAGACTCAAGTAATAATAAGGCCCAACTTTGACTCAACGTAGGCGTGTCCTTGAACTGATAGATATGTAAAGAAAGCTGGGTGTCATTGGTAAGCCACGCCCAAGCTTTGTCTTTCTTCACACACGCACATATTATACACGCACAGCGCATATCCACGCATACACCTACATACACCCCACGCAAGAGAGAGAGAGGGGTCGGCAACTAAAGTGGATTATAGATAATATACAGGCCAATCCAATATCCGTTTTTAATTATTTTCACCCAACAAAGAAAAAAAATACATCAATAACCGGAGGAGCTAATAATAAAAGGTAGTTTGAGCAGAGGAAATGTATGCGAGTGACATTTCTACGAAGTCATTTGTCATCGCAATACAGTTTGTATCTCTCTTAAAATATAGGTTAAATGTCTTTAGGTTACTGTATCACTTTACACAATGAAAATGTTTGACATTGCATTTTACAAAAAATTATATTCATTTAAACAATATAATTATCATGGTCTAGAAGTATATAACTTTGTCTTTCATAAAAGGACTTTATTGTCGGTCTCACTCTTTCCCTTCCTTAGATATATATATATATATATATATATATATATATATATATATATATTGATGCACGCATTACGCATATCTTGTGGTGGGATGCATGGGGTCTCCTTTACACCCAAGTTGTTGCCGACCTGTTATTCAGGGTAGTATTTTAATACAAAATTAGTATTACCAGCCTCTATGTCGATAATTAAAACATATAAAGCAATATACTGAAGACGATCGAAAATACTTTGGAGAAATTCACTCATTACGTTCGACGTTTCAATAGACTGATAGGCAATGTGAACGAGTATTAAAATATCGTAGTTCGATTTTTTTTGGTTGAAAGTCTCTTTGAAATAGAATGTGAGATAATATATAGATCTAGTTTATTATTTATATTTCCAGTCCTTCAAGTGTGCTCACAAAGTCACTAGTTTCTCGATTTGTAATCTCGATAGTGTGTTAATCACTCCTACTTCTAGGCCCCGTTGCATACAACTTACCATTGATGGTAACTTTGCCATCAATGGCAACTACCATGGTAACAGGGCTCAACAGCCAATCAAAATTAAGGTTTCCATGGTAGTTACCATTGATGGCAAAGTTACCATCAATGGTAAGTTTTGTGCGACGGGGCCCTGACCCATTCTCGTTCCCGGTGTGTTAGACGCAGCTTAGGAATCTCATGCCAATGGCCGTGTAAACGGGAGTGAGCAGAAACCATATTGTAAATGTGAATATATAAAAACATCGAGTGAAATTATATGAGCGATCGGAGATGGCCGAACTCTCGTTATTGCTTCTCAGACAAACGGGACCACACTTGCAAAAAGGCACGTACATATTCAACAATTGAAAATACAATAATGTAATCATCAATATCTTGCATTAGGGAAAAAGATCTATTTTGATCGCATCTAGATAATGAGATTGTCATCTTTACGAAACAATGTTACAAAAATGTATTCATACCTATACAAATTGATGAAAATATCAAAATTTAGAACATATTATAATGTTAACTTTTAAATACAAATATATTTATGTACATTTTGTGAAATCAAATTTCTGATTTCCATTGTGTTGTGTATCTATTGCACTATAATCTAGAATATTGTGAATTAAAACTGTAAAGAAAAAGGTGTATTTAAAGGATGCATCATTGGTGTCAATTATGAACAATACTACTCACTTCTATTCTTTTAACATGAAGATTATAAGAGGATTAAAAATTCGTTCCCTTAGATTGAAATATTAAAATTGATATATATGAACATTTAAAATTATTATTTATGCTTTTTCTTGTTAGCATATCTTCACTTTGGTAGAGTAGTACGCTGCACTTTCGGCAGACTGGGGCGACGATTCCAGGGGAAGGACGAAATGCAAACCTAACAGAGAATTAATTGGGCAATATTTTGAACAAAATGCAAAAGGGGGTATAGGATATAATGAGTATAGAGGCTATATCATATTATTGTTTAAGATTTGACGATCTTTAAGCGCACGGTTCGAAATGAAATGAATGCATTTTACATTTTTAGCAAGGGGATCGATGTAGTGTGTACTCTGTATACACTAGGGTTATCTAAAAAAAAAATCATTCCCCGTTCGAACACACCCATTCCTTGCATCGCGCCCTCCAGAATCACCGCCCTTGTCGATATCATTTGTTGTAACTCAGCATATTTCATTTCAGTCATATTTAAAAGTTACTGCTAAATTTTCGTAATGTAATATTTCTAAATATTCGGAACAATGTCTATTTATACTACGTTACAAACATACTTAAACTTAGAATTCAGAATGAATAATATAAAAATCTAGGTAAATGAATCATGGAAATGAATTCCACATTTAGTCCTTAGGGTCCTTAGGATAAGTAATATCGAAGATGGAAAACAAATGTAAATCTCATTTTTAGGAGTTTCATTGCCACTTCTCTCAATAATGTATTCCTCCTATGTTTTATGCTGTCCAACTCAATAAACTCAGTCGATGTATACACACAAGTAGGTCTTATTAAATCTGTGTTTTTGGGGGACGGTGGGAATACTTGTATACATTCCCAGTCTTCATATTTTCTGGTTTATAGGAGACGAAGATGATTTAGAAATTGAAAATTCTGGCACAAGATGGGCTGTTAAAAAAAATATTATTCATATACTTTAGTTGGTATCCATCTGTTCAATCTCTCTCATCAGTCTTTCTTCCTCATTGTCGTCTCCTTTCTCGCTATCTTTCTTCTCGGACGACATCTCCACATCCCTGTCTCCATTTTTCTCATTATGCTCAAATTCATTCTTCTCCGGAAGGCTATCCCTATCCGCTTTGTTGTTTTCATCCATCTTTTCATCCACCTGACCATCCCCCTCCTCCGCTTCTTTCTTCTTTTTCCCAGCCTCCCTTCGCTCCTTCAGCTTCTTCGCCATTTCCAGCTTTTGTTGATCCAACACTTTCTTGGCCTCAATTTTCGCCTGCTTGGCTTTTTCTTTCTCTTGTTTGGCCTTCTCTTTTCGCTCCTTCTCTTTCTTTTTCCTCTCTTCTTTTTCTTTCTTCTTCTTCTCCTTCTCCTCTTCGTCGTCGCCGAAGCTGGTGATCTCGTCTTTGATGTCGGAGCAGTCGTAGACGTTTACCGTACCATCGAAGGATGAGGTAGCAAGCTTCCCGTCTAGCAACTGATGGTTGAACAAAATGAATGATATATAATGATTTAATTTCATTTCATTTCTCAATGTTTACACCATCTTTTTTAAATATACACTTTCAATAAAATATAAGCACAGATCAGATATCATGTTACATTATACAAGCATTTTTCTTTCAATAAAATTTTACCGAGTAATTTTTGCGGAAGATGTGTATTATTTTTTGAAAATACTTGTAGGCCTACTATTATTTTTTCCCAGATATAATTGTATAAAAGAAATGTGTGGTCTATATTTGATTTCAATTGATGATACACCATCAAGTATCGAAAGTGCATGTTTATACTAGCCAAGTTAAAATATGACTTTGATACATCTCTTGTGAGACATGCAGTATAATATTCGATTTCGGAATCCACTTATAGCTCCCATTCCTTTTTCTATCGACATATTTTCATATTTTGTTTTATTCTATGTCTGCCTTTTTACTTCAATCAGCAATTGATCCAGCAAGAAATACAAATACATTGCGCTCAGCGATCAGGGATGTTGACACTTGAGCAATTATCGTTTCCGATTGTTACCTATCAATTATTTATACCAGTTTCCACGGTTGCTATGCCGGCGGATTATTTACGGTCACAACCGTTTGGTAAAAGTCAATATTCTGCCAGACACGCAGTCCGATTTGAATGATTCAGATCTAAAATAAATTAGTTATCTAGTCATGTTTCCAAGGCTTGGGAAGGGAACAATAGAGCTGCAGAGCAATATTTATCTCCAATAAATCAAGCAATTAAACATTTCCACCACCATACTCCCTTTATAAAACAATATCATCCCTGTCGGATATAGACCCGTATTGTGTCTTTCCTCTGTCCCTTCTTAATTTACATACTTTCAGGGTCAATTTATCATACTTTTGATTTTTCTATATATTATTAATGATGATATGAATAAGAGAGGCAGATATTTGATTTGGTAGAATAAGTGTTTTTCTCAAATATTTTCAAATTTTACTTTGATCTCCACCTCTTTACAGTATTTTCTTCGTATATGTTGACATACCCTTTCTATGGTATATAAGTTTTAGCATTACTATTATTATTATTACTATCATACTTATTATCATTGTTATTATTATTATTATTATTATTATTATTATTATTATTATCATTATCATTATTATCATTATCATTATCATAATTGCGAACAATATTACTATTATAGTTATTTCTATCATTATGTTAAACATGAATGTCCTTACCAGAATAGAGTATACTGCTCCTTCGTGCCCCTTAAACGTCCTTTTCAGTGCTCCTGATTTGGCATCATAAACCCTTGCAAAGCCGTCACCACAAGCAGTGTAAACTGAAAAATAAAACGGATTTGTTCTTCGTTATTATGATATGAGTATACACAAAAACTTTATTCTGAGAGATATGGGTGAGATGCAAAGTGTTGGTAGACTTCACAGTATTCAAACGTATATTGTGATCATTTTATTAGGGTTATATAAACATTGAAAGTTGTAGTAGAAGTCACGTGAGTATTTTTATTAAAAAACAGTGGTAGTAGCAGCAGTAACAGCAGCAGCAGAAGCAGCAGCAGAAGCAGCAGCAGTAATGATAGTAGCAGTAATAGTAAAAGTGTTTATAGGAGAAGGAGTAGGAGGAAGAAGAGGAGAAGAAATAATATTAGCTGGCAGGGGCGTCGCCAAAGGGGGGGGGGTGTCGCACCTGTCGGGATATTGTCGGTAAAATTGCGCTGCTGTCGGGAAAAAAATTAGAAAAGGAGGAGGGGAAAAAGGGAGGGAAAGGGAAAGAAAAGAAAAAAAAGAAAAGGAAAAGAAAAGAAAGAAAGAAAGAAAAAGAAAGGAAAGAAAGGAAAAGAGAGGAAAGAAAAGAAAGAAAGAGAAAAAAAGAGGGAGGAGAGGAAAGAAAGGAAAAGAAAGAAAAGAAAGGAAAGAAGAAGAAAGAGAAAAGGGAAACAAAAGAAACGGGGGATGAAAGAGAGGAGAAAGAGGGGAGCTAAGAGCCTGAGATAAAAGGAGTGGGAGTAAAAGAGAGAGGGAGGTCGTTGGGTGGAGTCGTCTCGTCGAGGGAGCAAGAAAGACACGGGTAAATATATTGCTGTGTCGGGTCAGCTGTGTCGGTATCCTTGCTCGATCCTCGTTTACTATATCAATGCAGAAGTTTGAAGTCGGTGACATGTATAACGTTGGTCGGCAGACAAGTTTTTTCCCCTACGAACTGTGACTTTTTATCCGCTGTGACGACTTTGTATTTTCTCGAAGTTTCACTTTCCTTTAATATCAGCTAAAGAAATCAGAGGTTTAAAATTTTCGGGGAATTTTCGGGGAAACTAAATTCAAACAAGGATTAAGAGTCAACAACGGTACGTCTCCCTTTCTCTATATGTTGATGAAACGCCCAAAATTCCGCGCTTCGCGCGGGAGGAGAAAACTTCATTTACAAGAGTCGCGAACGGTACAACGAATCGTCTGCTTTCTCTAATAATTTAAGGAAACGATAAAGCTTCCGAGCTTCGCGCGAGAGGGGGAAACTGAATTAAGATAAATAGGGCTTATTAAGAGTCTAAGACGGTACATCGAATCGTCTGCTTTCTCTAATAATTTAAGGAAACGTCAAAGCTTCCGCGCTTCGCGCGAGAGGGGGAAACTGAATTCAGATAAATAGGGCTTATTAAGAGTCGAAAACGGTGCAACGAATCGTCTTCTTTCTATAATAATTAAATCAAACGTCTAAGCTTTTCGCTTCGCGCGGGAAGGGGGAAACTGAATTCAGACAAGGATTAAGAGTCGAGAACAGTACACCCAAGCGTCTGCTTTCTCTAATAATTTAAGGAAACGTCAAGGCTTCCGCGCTTCGCGCGAGAGGGGGAAACTGAATTCAGATAAATAGGGCTTATTAAGAGTCGAAAACGGTACATCGAATCGTCTGCTCTCTTTAATAATTTAAGGAGACGTCAAAGCTTCCGCGCTTCGCGCGAGAGGGGGAAAATGAATTCAGATAAATAGGGCTTTAAGAGTCGAAAACGGTGCAATGAAGCGTCTTCTTTTTATAATTATTTAATGAAACGTCATAACTTCCGCGCTTTGCGTGGGAGGGGGAAACCGAATTCAGACAAAGATTGAGAGTCGAGCACGGTTAAACGAATCGTCTACTTTCTCTTATAATTTAATGAAATGTCAAAGCTTCCGCGCTTCGCGCGGGAGAGAGAGGGAGAAACTGAATTCAGACAAGGAATAAGAGTCGAGCACGGTTAAACGAATCGTCTGCTTTCTCTAATAATTTAAGGAAACATCAAAGTTTCCGCGCTTCGCGGGAGAGTGGGAAACTGAATTCAGATAAATGGGGCTTATTAAGAGTCGAGAACGGTAAAATAAATCGTCTTTTTTCCTAATAATTTAAGGAAACGTCTAAGTTTCCGCGCTTCGCGCGATAGGCCTATCACCTACACCCCCCTAATGAGCGCGCTTTGCGCGCTCTATAAGTGATTCGCTTGCTCACTTCCGCCCCTCCCTAAAATAAGATCCTAGCTCCGCGCCTGCATTAAAATATATCTATGATGCTGACTAAGTTGGCAAAATAATTCGTATATTTATGTCGTCGAAAAAATGACCATTTGCGCATACGCAAGTACTATAGATAGTCCGTGGGAAAAACAATTTAGCCTTCAGCCCCGGGAATATAGGGTTAAATTTGTAAATATTGGGACATTTAATTTTGTCGGTAATTGGGGACTGAAAAAGGTCTAGCGACGCCCCTGTTAGCTGGTACGTAGCACTAGCAGAAGTAGCATTATTGTAATATTAGAGGGAGAAGCGTAAACCTCTTTTCATGGTCACGATCATCATCGTGGGTACGTGATAAATACGTTACACTTATGTAGTCAAATGTCACCGGGAAGGATTTCACATAACCATCGTTTCCGCATTGCTGATAAGGTTTGTTTGTTTCATCGCAATGTATGCGAGTCATGTCTATTCTCTGTTCATGTCCTTCCAAGGTTACATCTACTGTCATCAATTTTTTTTTGTGGGTATATTTAGAATGCTATCCACAATCAATAGATGTGGGAAATGCGTCAACGGGCTAAATAAAGTAAAACTATAATTTGTGCTCTCCAGTAGGTTTTCAATGCCGTGTCTAGTTCTGCTTCCGAAATACAAGTTTAAAGAAAAACAAAATTCATATCCACCCACACCTATTTTTAATCAAATCACTAATATCCGAATGTCTTTTCATTCAAGATATTGTAAATATTACAAATTGACGTATGGGTAAATGTTGGAATTTGTAAGGAGGTGACAATTAGGACGGGGAATCTGACGACCATTTACTGATTGGAAACATTGTCTCCATACTTGGATCTCATCGAAGGCTTACTATAAAAGGTAAGGTTGAGTGTGTTGCAGGACTGCATCACTAAAGGGCTTATGGTAGGACAATAGGTAACTTTGTATCGAATAAGACTTCTGATCATTTGGAATAATGAAAATGATAGCACGTCTATTCAATCTCGCAGAATATCACCAAAAAACGTGTACAAATGTATCAGGATATGGGAATATGCAGAAAGACCAACAAAACAAACCAAACAGACACGCACGCGCCCCACGCACACATGCGCGTACACAATTCATAGGCATAATTCATGTTTGTCTTTTAAAAGTAACACCGCCAAATCGACACCAGGACTCCAAACCAAACCCACAGAGGTGTACTTTTCTTGTCGGTCTATTGTCAGCCCCGTCTTAAAAAGAGTTGATATTAATCGCAACTTATTTGCAATTAATATCAATCGCAACTTTGTACATAAGAGATAGAAAACTGTAAACTTGCGATTGATTGGAGGCAGGACTTGCGATTGATTTAGATCAATCGCTACTCTTTGTTAGACGGGTCCTTAAAGCTTATCTGCCGTAGTTCACAGGAGGGATAAGACTGCCCTGCAAGGTCACTGGACAGGTTGTTATCTCATCAACTCAGCTCTCAGTTAACATACGAAAAAGAGGATCATGGGGGACCAATGGTCACCGATTAGGCATTGTTTGTTATATAGAGGGCGCAAGTAGCTACAAGTAGTGCAGTGGGCCTTTGAATACCCTTGACACCATCCATAAACTAATACATTTTTACATGGATGGTGAGTAAGCACTCTTGTCATTTCGGCCTCCACAATGCAATGTCACTTAATTGGATGACTTTAGTATGGGCCGAGTTTTCTTTCGGCTCTGGTGGTAAGAAATTACATAAATTTTTTCCATTTTATCAAACGGTTTACCTTCACTGCTCAACCATAGCGTCACTAGCATGAGGCGGAAGTTGTTGTTCATTTACCATGAAGAACAAGTAACGTTTGCTGTAATCACCTTTGATGAATGGTTAACAGTACACCCCTTTTCCAGGGGCTTAATCCACTCATTCACTTCCCGCTATATTCCACCAGGTTTTAGAGCTCATGCAATGTATTATCCTTGTTATCAGTTTGCAGTATTAGGGACTTTTAGATTTGCACGTCGACAAAGTGGACTACTACGTGTGACGTCTTTTTAAGGCACTGGACTTTTAGATTTGCACAAAGTCCCTAATATAGAGGGTTCTACAACGCCTGATTTATCTGTCAATATCCTACCCTGACCGAATTGATATATTTAACTCTAAACCAAAGACTGTTCCTAACTCTAAACCTCACCTCATACCCGATTGTAACCTTTAACCTAATCGTATATCTTTGACAAAATATAGCCCGAAGCAAATGTAAAAAAAGCACTGGACCCAATGTGACGATTTTAAAGAAACCTATTTTAAAGCCCCAGTGATAGTAATCTTTAAAAATAGTGTTATTTCGTATTCCAAAGCTTTAAAGAGGGGCGAAAGAGGGGTTAAGATTGCAATGTTGACCTCCTTGTATCTGGAACGTAATGCTTAAAAGTAATATTATAAAAATACATAACAACTTCGGGCTACTTGAATGTCTTTTCAAAAGGAATATAGATCTAGTGACGGTTTTGAGAAAATGTCTGATGTCTATTTTTCACTTTTTTGGTTTATCTTAGAAATTAGATACAAGATTGCTTTTTCTCACCTAAACCATCTCGAAACTTGACTGATTGAATGGTGTGTCTATGTCCTTCGTATGTTCTCGTTAGATCTCCAAACTCTGTCACCCAGCAGCGTACCGTTTGGTCTGCACTACCAGTGTACATCAATTTGTTTATAACCTGGATTGGAAATGAAATGCAAAACAAAATCAATAACATATATGTTTTGTTCACCCTTAAGGCCCTGCAATCACATCATTACCCCCGCTTCAGCCCAAATACCAGGGTAATGCGCTCACAAATTCTAGAAACGTCTTCACCTGGGTGGAGAGTGGCAGTTGTAGACCAGAGACTTGCCAAAGGACACTAGTACCGTTGCGGGGTCTTGAACCCCGTACCATTAACTTTAAATGTCCGTTGACTCATCCAATGGACCCCGAAATCCAAAAGTAGGAGATGTGTTTTGACAAGTCAAACAACTGCAATATGCATGTCGTACTATACTCTATAAGAAACGAACAGAGCTTACACATGAACATGATAGAATTTGATATCATATTACCAATATAAAATAAAGATCCTAAACGAAAAATTAACTCCATTCAGTTGAACTTGAATTTTAAGAGGGATGAAGAAAATTAGCTTATATTTATTAAACTGCATTTTATTAAGATTTACGCTCATATTAATAAGAAGACTATTGATGAACTGGTATGTTTATTGTGCAGATTTAACTAAGAAAGTTCAGTGCAACTAAAAATGAAAGGTGTATTATGATAAAAAGAACACGATGAAAATGTAAATGTTTGACTAAATTATATGAGAAGTAGAATTACAAGTAAAATAACATTTCAAATATAATATAAATAAAAGAACGCAACTCGAGAAATTATGTATTTGTTATAAATGCAACGTTGTATACTCATTATTGACTCAACCATGAACACAAAAAAGTCTATAGGCCAGCTCATTTATGAGAGAGAGAGAGATAAAGAGAGAGAGAGAGAGAGAGGGGTAACCTACGTCATACTGCCTATAAATAATTGGTCTCTTATTGGAAACGGTATGTACTGGGATTCAGCATCAATTAATTTGTTTATCCCAATCAATCTCATAAAGATTGCATTTGGGGTGGTTTTTTTTACATTAATATTCTAATCAAGGGTGTTTTTAAAATGGCGGATATATGCTCTATGCCTGGAATAGGCATGCTTTTTTCTGATGCATCGGTGATTATTTGTAAGATGAACTCCGTCACTGTGGCTATGGCACGTTGTAGTTTATCATATGAAATATAACGAGATGAGATAGAATGACCAGCAGTTCATATATATCTATACGAAAGGAAGAAAGAGAATAATGGTTGTCTAGCTTCAATCAAAGTTTTTCATTGCTGTCCTACGTTTTGGAAATGTTTGCAAAGGTTGAAAAAACATCTCCAAAAATTGAAACCGGTTCACTGGCTAAGAACGCAAATAATAATAATAATAATAATAATAATATATCTTGTTTACCCAGGGTAGCCTCATCAGAATTCATACTGTTCTCCCTGAGGGCCATGCAATCATAATTATGCCTTAAAGATATAAACCGGTAGTGGTAAAATTACGGTTCAAGGGTTTTGGGTGCAAAATATCCATTCAATATTGTTTAAATATTGCCTTCAGAGGTTTAGATGGCAATCCTCCAATCTAAATTTGCGAAAAAACAGAAATATATGCCAAAATGTTGAAGTGGATCGATATGGTAATTTACCAAATATATCAATTAGTAGGCGGTTTTCCGGCGAAATTTGTATCATCACGTATTAGTCAAAACATATTCTTTCGCATGATTGGTAATAAGAGCTGCCATTTCATTTTTTGAGAGGGGGCGTTTCCAAAACTGGTCTAAACCTTTAACCAGTAGACCGCGGAGACGGGCCTATATTATCTCTCTTTCTCTTTCTCTCTCTCTCTAATTATAAGGTGTATTTTCAGACTGTTGCCGGAATATAATAAAATATTTAAAACCATACTATACTAATCTATATCAGTGAAAACTAGAGCGTGGAATTAGGACAGTATTTGCGATAAATAGAACAAAATAAATTTAGAATTCATCATGTTTCATCATCCTATGAATTGCAAATTGTTAAAAGTCAATATGAAAAACATATAAAAGAAATTGACTGATTGCGGCATTGGTGGTCAGAGAGTTCTAGATTATAAAAAAGAAATAAAGCATCCTGAAGCTTATGGAATCTATCATTCAAAATGAGAGCATATTTACTTGGAAACTAACCAATAAATTTCATCTGAAACGTGGCAATCTCCTTCAAAACCATACGATTTTATATCTACGAATCAAGCGGTTACCATTTTGATAAAACCAAACGGCAAACACCAACCTCGATTACGGCGAATGAAATTGGCAGAGTACATCAACCTCTCTAAAAATAAGTGTGTAATCATAATTTGCTCGATTGTAGCCCTTGCGATGCATGGCAAAGATTGGATACGGTTTGACAGCGGTACACTTAATACTGCTAATCACTTTATGCACTGATGTCGAAATTGAGGTGGGAAAAGAGCTACGTTCTAAAAATACTTGATATGATTATGTTCGTGTCTGCGATAGCAATCATGGATCTATTCCTGTTTTATCACCACTGTTAAAAGCTTTTTTGTTTTGTTTCAAGCGACTCGTGAGACAGACTTTATGTAAGCTCCTGAATTTCTTTCTCGCCTGTCTCTGCTTTATTATCTAAGTTTACAAATCATGAATAAACCAGCAGAATTGCCGCCTTTACGGCGCTATGATGCATAACGAACACATGAAAAGGCGCCGGCATATTTATCTTATGTACACAATGAATTCTTACATAAATCATCTCTCTGTAAATTTATCCTCCAAATGAGAAAATTAATTACAATCTATACCTCATGCGCTGTGACTTCCCCTTCATGGTTGTATGTCTCTTTGATGTGACAGGCGATGTGTTGATAGTGAAAATGATTATTGAAATCGATTGAAAAAAAATGTACATGTAATTATACTCATATACATGATTATATTTCGGCGGAATGATCCATTAAAAATATAGATAAAGAGAGAATGTGAATGTGTGCGTGTGTATGTGTGTGTGTGTGAGGGAAAGAGTTATAGCTAGGCAGAAAGAAAGAAGGAAGATCTTTATTTAAAAATGAATTAAAAATAGTGACAGACAGATGCTTGATGTGCACTTTTCGGACTTAATTCATCCTCCCTTTGCTAGTAAATCCTGATTTCAATACCGATTTGCACTACATATATTTCGACTTTGTTCAAGTTCAAGAAGAAATTGTAAAAGAGGCATATTGAATGTCAAACGCATACTTAAATATTTTCATCTAACAGAAAATTACTTCTTTGAAAAGTGTAATATACAATTTACATTAAAAAAAAATTAAGGGTAGACAAGAATACCCATTTATATTTCTGTAAAAGATTTTTTAAAAGATAAGTTACGGATAAACCATTTATATTTAAATTTAGAGAAAACTAGAGAGGGGAAATGAGGGAGTGAGGGAGGAAGGGAGGAAGAGGGAAGAGAGAGAGAGAGAGAGAGGGAGAGAGAGAGAGAGAGAGAGGGAGAGAGAGGGAGAGAGAGAGAGAGAGAGAGAGAGAAATTGGGAATGGATTTAAAAAGAAATAATAACAGGTTTCTGACATGATAACACGTTTCCAAAATGAATATCATTGAATCATGTATAGTATTTATTAAATAAAAAGTAGGTTGGGTACATAGCCTTGCATAACAGGATAGACGCGGGTAAAAAAAAATGTAATAAAGTGCCTCCACAGACTGTATCACATTCAAGGCTAAATTAAGTCAAACTGGTGACGTTAAAACAAAATGACATCTCCATACGAGAGAACAATAGATACAATTTGGAAATATAGGACCAGTGATTTCAGCGGACTAATTACTGTGAATTGAAGAGAGAGAAAGAGTGAGAGAGAGAGAGAGAGAGAGAGAGAGAGAGTGAGAGAGAGAGAGAGAGAGAGAGAGAGAGGTCAAACCATTATGTTTGTCCTACCTGGCAACAACGAATGTATGCAGTTCGAATTTTGTCTGTTGAAATACTATTATTGTTATCAGGTGATTGAAGTAGTTTGTATCAAGACACTTCACAAAGACATGTTAAATTTGGTTACTTGACGAAAATGGCCTATTCACTGCAATCTCTCTTATATCCACAATGGATTAAATTTTGAATGAAAATGGCAACAATGGAGAGCTAAGGATACAATCTCTTTGATATTATTATATTCATATACACGACAAAGGCGTGTCCTTGTAAATTAAATCTCTGAATAAATATGAACATTTCAGCGAGAGCTTTTATAGTCAGCATTTTCAGAATTACTCAATCACCACGGATTATATGAAAGTGCACATCTCTAAATTTTACATTTACAAGTGCAAATTCATAAAGTTTGGAATTACCCTAATAAAACAAGCACCGGGTAAAAATGTCTATAAGAAGAGTGAAATTATTCTTTAATAATGAAATAGATATTAAAGATTCCTAGATCGTGCAAAAATGTCTCTGGGCGACTGTTTTATGGGAAAGCCATTTAGTCACTAGATAATGTTATATAATGTAGAATTCTACATAGTGCAAGAATATAGTCACATTTTGTTTACCATATGCGTTTCAAAGAGCCAGTTTCATAATGATTATATAATATTCGGTGCGCTATAACGGTTAGCAGTTTAAAGCTTCTTACATCAAATATTTGGAAGGAAAAGCGGAGAAACTTTAGAATACTGCATAAATTGCAATGGACAGATGTCCATTGGTTGAACAACGCACCAGAGACCATGTTAAACCTGAAGAATGTGTTAGCTAACCCTTACCCTAGTCCTTACCCTACATCTTACCTTAAACATAAACTCTATCGGTGGGGGGATTTTTAAAGTTCAGCCGAGAGAGCCTGACATATTCCCAATTATCGAAATGTAGGAATTTGTTTTTGACGTAGCTTTCTGTTACTATAGTTGCTTCGTTTTTTTCCGAACAAACAATTTAGCGTGAATGCACACCACACGCAATGATCATCTCTCTCATCAATATGAGTTACCATGGTATATAGTTCAAACAGCACGCTTTAAAAGCGTGACAAAGCCCTTAATTTGTGTTACTTGGATTCACGAGGGAAGCTATTATGGTGAATAATGCAGACGGTCAAAAAGCGTTCCTTTTTTTTTTAGTCTGAGCTTATACTTTTATACCCGTCACCTCGTACAAATATAAATTATAACGACATGATAACTGTAGACAGAGGGAGAGAGAGAGAGAGAGACAGACAGACAGAGAAAAAGAGGGAAGGAAACGAGAGGGAGAGACAAAGAGAGACAGCGAGGAAGAGAGAGGTGGCTTAATTTATTTTAAAAAAAATCAAGGAACAAAAAGCAAAGAAAAAAAAACTCTAAAAAGGATTTAAAAAAAACAAGAAGAGATAAAGTAAAACAAAATAAAACAAAAACGGAAAAATAACTATGATTATAACATTTGCTAGCGCGTTTTGAGTCGAAAGTCTAGAAGGGGGTCACATTTTGGTTGTGTATAAAGGTATGCAAATTGTTTTTTAAAGGAGCCTGGGTATAGGCATATGGTTTTCCTGAAGAACTGGAGACTATTATGGACAAAACATGCATTGGGCCAGGAAAGGATGAGGTGTTTTTCTTTTGGGTTGAGAATTTGGAATCGTTGATAACAAATTGGCTATAATTGTGAAAAAGTGACAAAAAAGATAACGTGACCTTTTTTTTTTGTTCGACAAATTTCTATTGTTAAAGTTGTCGGCATTCAGTCAGAAAAACCTCCCTCGTTCAAAACGCTCCTTCGACGCCTCCGAATCTAGTGCCAAACGATCTATAAAGCATGCAAAGGCAAATCTGTATGTGTTCTGTAATTTTGTTGATATATCTTTCAATTACAACGAGTATTGCAGTTCACACGTAGCGTATTTTTACGATTAAAGTGGGGAGACATTTTCGTTATCGAAATTTCATTTATTACCTCGACACGACTTAGATTTAGACTAGGCGTAAATAGTCAAATTTGACTGAACGCCGTAAATACTACCAACATCAACAACGTTATCGAGAAAAATGAGTGTGCCCCCCCCCCCATGGCTGGAATTACACTACACCACTGGTGACTAATGAATTCACGATTAAACTGTTGAAATATATACCTATTATCATTACATTTGCGATAGATAAATTATAACTGTCAACGTGCATATAGGTCATGTCAACATTTAGCGATGCAATTATCGGCACAATAGGATCTATCAATTTCACTTTCAGAAAGGTATTGAAAGAGACTGTATACACATAGAAAGGGCTATGTTCGTTGATCATGACCAGGAGGGGCGAACTAAATGACTTTCTTATCCCTTTTAAAGTCACGATTGTCGTTTTATATTGAAAGAAAAAGAGGGAAGTCAACTTGAAACTGAACAGTTACTATCGTTGAACATAAGTCAATAAAGTATGTACATATTAAGACTGTATAGAAGCAAACCTATCAGAAATGATTCCTCTTGGTGACTTGAATATTATTCCCTTTAAACAAAAAAAGTCTTCAAATGTATGTACATACGGTGTCTATTATCGATAGCTTTTTCAGACGTGTCACTCCGTTAACTCTGAGATTGCCTAAATTACAGTAAGCCTGTATTTTAACTTTTAAGATACCTTCATTTATCCTCCTCATATAGCTATATCGCCATTATGGCACCATATTTAATGTCTTTATGATCCAATTGGTATACACAATTTGAACGAACACTATTTTACATGATAATCTTGATCGTTTATTCGTGGAACAGACATACGTTGCATTCAATTACGATGCTCCCTGTTGGTCGATTCATTTCATTTTCGTCAAAGGTTCTACTAAAAATCAATTTAATCGCATTGTCTTTCTTATTGTATTGATGTAAAGAATTCTCTTCTCTGAAATGTAATAAAAATTATAAAATTATTAAGACAAGCTGTAATATGGTGATATTCTCAGAAAATCAATTGGCTATAGTTATAAGAATTAATTTTCAGGTCAGTAATTTGTTCATTAGGGATAACAATAGACCGATGGGAAACATGGCGATATCTAATTTAGACTATTCCAAAAGAAAGAGAGAGAGAGAGAGAGAGAGGACAAATCGAAAGACTTAATTTGAAATAGAACAAAAACAAATATATGTCTACTTCTTGAATATACATGTGGAGTCTGAAACACCTTGTTTATTCTATAAGTCTTATTTCGACATTTCTAATTTGACGCCCTTTATTACTTATTGACATGTTTCTACCCTGGAGCTGTCGGGGTATAGGGGTTCGTTCACTTGACTCTTAATCCTAGGTTTGAGGGTTCGAATCCCAGCCCGGCCCGGCATTGTCCTTTGGCAAGACATTAATCCACGTCTTCCACTCTCCACCCATGTGGGAATGGGTACCAGCCCATTGCTAGAGTAATATTAATTTCAGGGCCTTTCGGAAGAACAGAATTGATGCTGATGAGGCTTCCCTGAGTCAATGAACAAATAATATTGTATTATAATATAGATATTTACAATCCCCCAATATTGTGCATTTTGTTTGTCTTCATGTCCTCTTCGTCTGTGTTTATCACTCTCTAAAGTCTTTTTTCCCCTTCTTTTTTCTTTTACTTCTACACCTTGTCCCACATTTTTTTCCTGTACAACACAACGATTCACAAATTGTAAAAACAAAAAATGCAGAAAATGTAGTAAAGAGTTAGGCCTTATTAATCCACGTCGTCGTTGTGAGCATACACATAACTTTGTCTTCTTCCGGAGCTCCCTTTTCTCTATTTCTTCGTGTGCTTTTTTGACATTAGCCACTACTATTGTCTTGATTTTACAGATTGCAATTCAAAATACACTTTCTCTATAGTACTCTGCTATTGCTACCATTAACAGTAACTCCCAAACACCATTGTTACGTCGTGAAATGAAATGCCTGGATCCCGCGGGCTTTGTTGATTTCCTTTTGAACAATAAAATGATCGATGCCATCTTTTGAGGTTATCGCGGAATCAATATCCACCGCCTGGCACTTTCATATACAACGTGATCACATATAAACATGGGCGGTCTTTCAGGTTTGTTAAAAGGTGTAGTTTAACCTTGATTTGCGGAAGAGAAGAACATGTAGCAATGTTGTCACTCAATTTAATTTGTTCGAATCCCTTATAAAGCTTTCTCGAAGTATTTCAACTTAAACCACTAAGTTTAGATCAACATAATATAGAAAGCTTTCTTTTTAACGAAACAAATATACAATCCACACCAAGACTCATATTCTTTTTTTTCTTTCACTTCATCTTTGTCTTGGTCTTATTACTTTTTCGTGTTATGTAATTTCTTTATTAATATACCATTTCTCCCAACCAAAATAAAATCATATACATCCCTGGAAATTTACTTTTTTCCAAAAAATAATGACTACTGTTTTAAGTTATAAAAAGCACTTTATAATACACAGTGACGTGTTTGAAAAGGTATTATGACCCATTAAAACCAACCAATATCATGAAATCTTATGACGTGAAGTCAAATGTGACAACAAATATTGGTAAAATTTGTATGAATTCCTATACCAAAATCGATTCCCGTATTGCCAATAACTCCATCAATTTAACCTTTGAATAATCAGAACTGCACTCCAAGAAACATCGACAACCTTTCAAAAATAGAGCACCCATTTCCTGCCTTACGATCAAAGTTGCCACTCAACGTTTATTTGTCTCTGTCAAAATGAATGTGGACACAGGGAACACAGCTGTTTAAATAACTGCTGCCTTATATTTTAATCAAAATCATACACAAAATGCATTTTACGTAACACTACGTTCCTATTTCAGAATTTACCTCTCCCCTCTACCTGTCTGTCATTCATTCTTGTTTGTTTTTCTGGGAATAATATAATTATCCAAATATTTGAGTCATCCCCGAGATGACACAATGACTAAGTATATGTAGGAAAATTGTAATGAAACAATGAGTTTCTAACCGAATGAAGAAAGATTTGGCGCAATATTGATATTCCACGGCGGATGACGTGGTAACATCCTTGAGAGGGTTGCTAATTTACTAATTTTCAGTGAGAATTTAAGAACCCATTTATGGTATCGGAAAGTTGATAGAAAACGAAATATAAATTACTAGGTTATCAAAAAGAGAAGATTTCCTTTTCGTTTTTTTAAAACATAACAAGTTACAACGATACAGGGGCATATATCCATAACCATGATAGTGGGGGACTGGGGTTGGGGGGAGGGGGGGGGGGGAGGAGGGCAAACACATAATTTCAATTGAACGCTATAATGATCATAACACTTTTAAGTTCAATAATAATTACGAGTAAATATCAGTTGGCCCTGTCCCTCCTCTTTCCAATCAATGTTACATTCGTGTTTGTACAAAATTAATCAGAAAAGTGTCCAGTAAGTCGCACATCGGGTCATTTTTCATTTCGAAAAGAAAATAGACAAAATATATTGTCTCGACTTGTCGTGGACACAGTACCAGTCATGAAAGATTTGTATTAGCAAAGTCATGACTAAACATTACATTGTCGTGATATTTTCATTTACTTAACGTATTTGCAGGATCTAGCACTTTTTCTGATAATAAATGACCAGGCTTGAATTGACAATGTCGTCATCAAGTTCTGTACCAGAATACAAGTTAAGCTAATAGGCACACATATTCGAGTGTCATGCTATATCGCATGGCGTATGAAAGTGAACGCATTGGAGTATTATTTAAGTTAACTCTATGATGAAGTTATTATTCTAGAAGTGTAGAATGTCGCTAATAAAACGCCGTTTCTATAATAAATCGTTTTGAAGGAATTATTGTACAGTTGTAGATTTAGAAATTATGTACCGATATGTAACCCTAAAGTGGAGCTGGTGTATATAGGAGAATCTGCAGTGGTTTAAATTAGTGAACCTACCTGAAGGCATATGACTGATCCTTGGTGGCCAGTAAAAGTCTTAAAGATCTCTCCTGTGTTAATGTTCCAACTATTCACTGTAAAATCGCCGCTTCCTGTATAAAGCACTGTCCCTGTACTATCTGCTCCTAGACAGTGTATGGCGGCTTTGTGGCCACGGTACGTGATCACACATTCTCCCGAGTCCATGTTCCACGCCCTAGCCGTGCCATCAGCACTCCCTGTGACGAGGATATCCTTGTTGAGGTCCATGTCGACCACGTCTTCCTTCATGGCATCTTCGGCGGGAATGTACATCAGCGGAGTGACGGATCGCGAATGACCACGGAAGATGTGAAGCAGTTCCCCATCATCAGGGTCCCAACACATCGCCGTCTTGTCATACGAGCTCGTGAAGAGAAAGTCCCCGGTGCAGATGAGTCGATTGACGGCACCACCATGGCCTTCGATCAACAGTTCCTCCTTGGACTCTTCGATGTCCCACTTCCTGACCGTACGATCAGCACTACCCGTAAAGACGAACTCCTCGTATATTTGACAGCATGTGATGTAGCCGGTATGGCCTTTGAGTACTGCTTTCACGGATCCATCAAACACGTTCCAGACCCTAATAGTTTTGTCATCACTCCCCGTGGCAATGTAACTCCCATCTTCGCTCATCGACATGCAGTTTATACTTTTCTTATGTCCTTTGAACGACATCAACAAATGTTCATCCTTCTCGGGCTTCTTCTTCTTCTTTTTCCTCTTTTTCTTCTTGTTGCCCATCTCGTCTACCACCTCCTCATCCTCAAACTCCTCGCCTTCCTTGTTGTCCATATCGTCTTGTTTTCTCTTCGATCTTTCCTTTTCCTCGTGCTCAATTTGTTTCATCTTCTGGGATGCCCCGCATCCCATGTTGGCTATCAATTTCCGTCAGAGGCATACAATTCAAGAGCACACAATGTCTTCACAAAGTCATAATGTAAAACATATTACCATCATTTGACCCAATTCAAAACGAAGGAAACTTGAATCAAATGCATGGGATTGTATCAAATTGCGACAAAATATACTAGATACTCGGAATCCCTGTGACACATGAAACGATGATAACACAGTACCTTCCTTTTACATTGTATAATCCGCAACAATAAACCATCCACATAAAAATACCCTCCTTGGTATGAAAGCAGAATCAAATTTCTCCATGATGTCCAATTTCACGAGATTCTGCAGCAAATGGCGTCCTTTTACCATAGCTACATGACGCTCAACTCCCAGACAACGGTGATCGTCAGGCACGTCCCTCTTTATTACTTCGCATCCGCTCCGTGCCTGCTGCGTGAGTGTGTGCGTGACTTTGTGTGTGTGAACGGAGGATGCGTGTGCGTGACTTTGTGTGTGTGTGAAGGGAGGATGCGTGTGCGTGTGTATGAGTGAGTACTGATAATGCATGCCAGCATGATAGGCTAATGAAACTTCATGTATTGTCTCTTGCCAATGGAGAGGCAGTATGCAAGGTATTATTTCATTATTGATGAGAGCTAAAAGCGGCTGATATGCTCGATGTATGAAATGGTGGCGTTCTGAGCATAACTGGTAGTCGAGGTGGAGTGTAGCCTCTTATCAGTTTTTTTTCCTTTTAACTCCTGTTTAGTATACACAAAATTAATATGCATCACTGATGGCGTTATTGAGAATCATCCACACAGTGTAACTGGAATGTTTCAAAGGTGTAGGGGCGGGTGATTATACCAATGCCGAAATATAGTAGTTGTTTTACATAATGGTGACGAGAATCCTGGTCATTTCATTAAAAAAAAAACACCTTATCCCAGATCCTTAAATCAAGACTCGACGAGCAAAGTTAGAAGTAGGCGATATCACGGCTGGTCATTATACAATATCATTGACCATATTTTAGCACTTTCTTATGACGAGTTATAGCATAGGAAAAATGAATGCCACATTCTCGTTTAAATAGATTTGCCGCGGTAAAAGGTTTGTCTAAACTTATTATTTTAATGCAAAAGTGCATGTGATGCAACAAAAATGTTGCATCTTCTAATATCTACAGATATTCAGCTTGAGTTATGATAAGGAGAGAAAATAAAATATTACACATTAAACCAAACTTACACTGAGTGTTCGACATAATAATAATTATGAATATCATTAGCTTGTAGAATATTAGTTTGCATCATATCAAATATCATAAACGATACCGGTATATTATGATGGTAGAGCAGAGAAGGTGCAAAAATGCACAGTAATGAAACCTCAAGACTTGAACCCTAATGCAAATGGCGTATTGACCTTGAGGTGGGGGGGGGGGGTACCCTTACAAATTAATCCGTAATACAAATCTACAACACACGACATAATATTTACGCCCTCTTCTCACCCATTACTAAATACTTCCTTTGACAAATCATATGAGAAAAAGATAGATAGATATATATTAATATATTTAAAGAGAGAGAGAGAGAGAGAGAGAGAGAGAGAGAGAGAGAGAGAGAGATTTAACATGTAACTGTGATCCTCGCTTTTGTAATAGTGATCCACCTTCAACACACGCGATATGCCCCAATTTCTCTAACATGTAATGGTGATCAGGGATCCCTATTACAATTGTAATAGTTATCCAAACACACGCAATGTGTGCATTTACACGCAGCATGCCATAGGCATATCGATACACACACACAATATCGATATGTGTGTGATCTCATCAAACTTTGTGCCAATGAGTGCGGTGACTAAAGCTGAAACTTGAAAGGCTAAAATTGATTGGTGAGTATTAATAGTGCATTATTATTTGTAATTTTATTAGAGGTTTTGATGAAAGAATGATATGTGTAATTTCTATACACATACTTTGACCTGTATGTCTTGTAACTGCTATAAAAAGTAAGATCTATGGTAGATATGAATTTTTCAGTCCCATGCATGCAATTCGGTGTGTTTTCAATGTCAAGGACCTTGATACTGATGATAGGGGGTCCGAAAAACTATGCTTTCTTAGATCTTAACTAAAAGCTCAAATAGAATTCTGATGTAAACTTACATTATAAATGTAATGTATTATTATTATTAGTATTATTAGTATTATTATTAGTAGTATTATCTAGATGTAGGAGTAGGGTATATCAACATTTCTTTCACTAGCTAAGACTCTTGTTGTAGGCAAAGACTAAGTAAGCAAAGTCTACTCTAGATCTAGTAGTACTAGCCTACTAGTAGAGTAGACCCTAGGCTAGACCTAGTCTCCGAGTCTGACCATGCTGACTCTGTCACTCTGGGTAGTGTAGGTCTAGTCTACCTCTATAGTTTGCAAATTTAGTTGGACTCTCAAAACAAGTTGAATTAACTCGAGGGCCGGCAACCTCAGGTCAATGCAAATGTGTATTGACCACTACCACTAGGGATTTATTTATTTATTTTTCGAAATATTGAATAACAATAGGTTTCCCAACTCTTGTCATTCAGGTCGAGAATGCATTTCCATTTAAAAAGATTTTATATTCTCCTCTCCTTCTCTTAAAAGTGCATTTTAGTTTCAAATTAGTGTTGTGAGGTTCTGGTAATTCCATATCGGAGAACCTGAATAAAACTAATAGGCTCTGCATTAAATAAAGAGAAAAAAAAACCCTTAATTTTAGTCGGACATATCATAGTCGAGAAAGTGTAAGGAAATGTGGTTGGTTTAGACATGGGGGGGGGGGGGGGAGGGGGGAGGGGGGGGGAGGGGGGGGGGGGGGGCTTGCCTAATACTACAGGCACTGTATTACATGAAGAGAAAACAAAGCTTTAATTTCAGTTGGACATATCATAGTCCAGAAACAGTAAGGAAATGTGGTTGGTGTAGCCATGAGTGAAAGGTAGGGAAGAGGCCCCCCCCCCCTTAATACAGGCTCTGTATTAAACAGAGAGGTAACAAAACTATAGTTTTAGTCGGACGTATCATAGTCGAGAAAGCGTAAGGAAACGTGGTTGGTATAGCCATGGGGGGTGGGGGGGGGGGCTTGCCTAATACAGGCACTAAAATAAAGAGACAACGAAACTTTTAATTACAGTCGGACGTATCATACTCGAGAAAGAGTAAGGAAATGTGATTGGCTAGCCACGACGGGAATGTGGGGGGGGGGGGCATGCCTAAAACAGGATGTGTATTAAAAAAAGAGATAACAAAACTTTACTTTCAGTCGGACATATCATAGTCCAGAAAGAGTAAGGAAATAAGATTGGCGTAGCCACAAGGGAAAAGGTGAGGAAGCCCCCCCCCCCCTAATACAGGCTCTGTATTAAATAAAGAGAGAAAAAAACTTTAATTACAGTCGGACGTATCATACTCGAGAAAGAGTAAGGAAATGTGGTTGGTGTAGCCAAGAGGGGGAGAGGGGTTGGGGTGGGGGCTTGCCTGATTCAAGCTCTATATTGAATAAAGAGATACAATATAACAAAACTATGATTTCAGTCTGATGTTTCATAGTCGAGAAAGAGCAGGGAAATGTGATTCAGATAGCCACGGGGGAAGGGGGAGGGGGGCTTGCCTTATAAAGGCTCTGTATTATAAAGAGAATTAAAAACAAATTTTGGTTGAACATATCATTGTTGAGAAAGCGTAATGAAATGTAGTTGGTTTAGACATGGAGGGAGGGGGGAGGGGGACGCTCACCTAATACAGGCACTGTATTACATGAAGGTAAAACCAAACTTTAATTTCAGTCGGACATATTATAGTCCAGAAACAGTAAGGAAATGTGGTTGGTTTAGACATGGAGGGGGGGGGGGGGGGGAGGGGGACGCTCGTCTAATACAGGCACTGTATTACATGAAGGTAAAACCAAACTAATTTCAGTCGACATATCATACCTGTAGTCGGGAAATAGGGAAATGTTATTGGTGTAGCCACTGGGTGTAGGGGGGGGGGGGGCTAGCTTAATACAGGCTCTGTATTAAATAAAGAGAAAAAAAAACTTTAATTACAGTCGGACGATCATACTCGAGAAAGAGTAAGGAAATGTGGTTGGTGTAGCCAAGAGGGGGAGAGGGGTTGGGGTGGGGGCTTGCCTGATTCAAGCTCTATATTGAATAAAGAGATACAATATAACAAAACTATGATTTCAGTCTGATGTTTCATAGTCGAGAAAGAGCAGGGAAATGTGATTCAGATAGCCACGGGGGAAGGGGGAGGGGGGCTCGCCTTATACAGGCTCTGTATTATTAAGAGAATTAAAAACAAATTTTGGTTGAACATATCATTGTTGAGAAAGCGTAATGAAATGTAGTTGGTTTAGACATGGAGGGGGGGGGGGGGGGGGGAGGGGGACGCTCGCCTAATACAGGCACTGTATTACATGAAGGTAAAACCAAACTGTAATTTCAGGCGACATATCATACCTGTAGTCGGGAAATAGGGAAATGTTTTTGGTGTAGCCACTGGGTGTAGGGGGGGGGCTCGCCTAATACAGGTACTGTATTATATGAAGAGAAAACAAAGCTTTAATTTCAGTGGGACATATCATAGTCCAGAAACAGCGAGGAAATGTGGTTGGTGTAGCCACGAGGGAAAGGTAGGGAAGAGGCCCCCCCCCCCTAATACAGGCTCTGTATTAAATAAAGAGAAAAAAAAACTTTAATTACAGTCGGACGTATCATACTCGAGAAAGAGTAAGGAAATGTGGTTGGTGTAGCCACGAGGGGGAGAGGGGTGGGGGGGGGGGGCTTGCCTGATTCAAGCTCTGTATTAAATAAAGAGATACAATATAACAAAACTATGATTTCAGTCTGATGTTTCATAGTCGAGAAAGAGCAGGGAAATGTGATTCAGATAGCCACGGGGGAAGGGGGAGGGGGGCTTGCCTTATAAAGGCTCTGTATTATAAAGAGAATTAAAAACAAATTTTGGTTGAACATATCATTGTTGAGAAAGCGTAATGAAATGTAGTTGGTTAAGACATGGAGGGAGGGGGGAGGGGGACGCTCGCCTAATACAGGCACTGTATTACATGAAGGTAAAACCAAACTTTAATTTCAGTCGGACATATTATAGTCCAGAAACAGTAAGGAAATGTGGTTGGTTTAGACATGGAGGGGGGGGGGGGGGGGGGAGGGGGACGCTCGTCTAATACAGGCACTGTATTACATGAAGGTAAAACCAAACTAATTTCAGTCGACATATCATACCTGTAGTCGGGAAATAGGGAAATGTTATTGGTGTAGCCACTGGGTGTAGGGGGGGGGGGGCTAGCTTAATACAGGCTCTGTATTAAATAAAGATAAAAAAAAACTTTAATTACAGTCGGACGTATCATACTCGAGAAAGAGTAAGGAAATGTGGTTGGTGTAGCCACGAGGGGGAGAGGGGTGGGGGGGGGGGGGCTTGCCTGATTCAAGCTCTGTATTAAATAAAGAGATACAATATAACAAAACTATGATTTCAGTCTGATGTTTCATAGTCGAGAAAGAGCAGGGAAATGTGATTCAGATAGCCACGGGGGAAGGGGGAGGGGGGCTCGCCTTATACAGGCTCTGTATTATAAAGAGAATTAAAAACAAATTTTGGTTGAACATATCATTGTTGAGAAAGCGTAATGAAATGTAGTTGGTTTAGACATGGAGGGGGGGGGGGGGGGGGGAGGGGGACGCTCGCCTAATACAGGCACTGTATTACATGAAGGTAAAACCAAACTGTAATTTCAGGCGACATATCATACCTGTAGTCGGGAAATAGGGAAATGTTTTTGGTGTAGCCACTGGGTGTAGGGGGGGGGGGCTAGCTTAATACAGGCTGTGTGTTATATAAAGAGAAAAAAAAACTTTAATTTCAGTCGGAAGTATCATAGTCGAGAAATAGGGAAATGTGATTGGCGTAGCCACGAGGGGAAGATGGGGGGGGGGGGCTCGCCTAATACAGGCACTGTATTACATGAAGAGAAAACAAAGCTTTAATTTCAGTGGGACATATCATAGTCCAGAAACAGTGAGGAAATGTGGTTGGTGTAGCCACGAGGGAAAGGTAGGGAAGAGGCCCCCCCCCCCCCCCTAATACAGGCTCTGTATTAAATAAAGAGAAAAAAAAACTTTAATTACAGTCGGACGTATCATACTCGAGAAAGAGTAAGGAAATGTGGTTGGTGTAGCCACGAAGGGGAGAGGGGTGGGGGGGGGGGGGCTTGCCTGATTCAAGCTCTGTATTAAATAAAGAGATACAATATAACAGAACTATGATTTCAGTCTGATGTTTCATAGTCGAGAAAGAGCAGGGAAATGTGATTCAGATAGCCACGGGGGAAGGGGGAGGGGGGCTCGCCTTATACAGGCTCTGTATTATAAAGAGAATTAAAAACAAATTTGGTTGAACATATCATTGTTGAGAAAGCGTAATGAAATGTAGTTGGTTTAGACATGGAGGGGGGGGGGGGGGGGAGGGGGACGCTCGCCTAATACAGGCACTGTATTACATGAAGGTAAAACCAAACTGTAATTTCAGGCGACATATCATACCTGTAGTCGGGAAATAGGGAAATGTAATTGGTGTAGCCACTGGGTGTAGGGGGGGGGGGGGGGCTAGCTTAATACAGGCTGTGTGTTATATAAAGAGAAAAAAAAACTTTAATTTCAGTCGGAAGTATCATAGTCGAGAAATAGGGAAATGTGATTGGCGTAGCCACGAGGGGAAGATGGGGGGGGGGGCCCTCCTAATACAGGCACTGTATTACATGAAGAGAAAACAAAGCTTTAATTTCAGTGGGACATATCATAGTCCAGAAACAGTGAGGAAATGTGGTTGGTGTAGCCAGGAGGGAAAGGTAGGGAAGAGGCCCCCCCCCCCCTAATACAGGCTCTGTATTAGATAAAGAGAAAAAAAAACTTTAATTACAGTCGGACGTCTCATACTTGTGAAAGAGTAAGGAAATGTGGTTGGTGTAGCCATGAGGGGGAGAGGGGTGGGGGGGGGGGGGGCTTGCCTGATTCAAGCTCTGTATTAAATAAAGAGATACAATATAACAAAACTATGATTTCAGTCTGATGTTTCATAGTCGAGAAAGAGCAGGGAAATGTGATTCAGATAGCCACGGGGGAAGGGGGAGGGGGGCTTGCCTTATACAGGCTCTGTATTATAAAGAGAATTAAAAACAAATTTTGGTTGAACATATCATTGTTGAGAAAGCGTAATGAAATGTAGTTGGTTTAGACATGGAGGGGGGGGGGGGGGGAGGGGGACGCTCGCCTAATACAGGCACTGTATTACATGAAGGTAAAACCAAACTGTAATTTCAGGCGACATATCATACCTGTAGTCGGGAAATAAGGAAATGTAATTGGTGTAGCCACTGGGTGTAGGGGGGGGGGGGGGCTAGCTTAATACAGGCTGTGTGTTATATGAAGAGAAAAAAAAACTTTAATTTCAGTCGGAAGTATCATAGTCGAGAAATAGGGAAATGTGATTGGCGTAGCCACGAGGGGAAGATGGGGGGGGGGGGGGGGGCTAGCCTAATACAGGCACTGTATTACATGAAGGTAAAACCAAACTTTAATTTCAGTGGGACATATCATAGTCCAGAAACAGTGAGGAAATGTGGTTGGTTTAGACATGGAGGGGGGGGGGAGGGGGGAGGGGGACGCTCTTCTAATACAGGCACTGTATTACATGAAGGTAAAACCAAACTGTAATTTCAGGCGACATATCATACCTGTAGTCGGGAAATAAGGAAATGTAATTGGTGTAGCCACTGGGTGTAGGGGGGGGGGGGCTAGCTTAATACAGGCTGTGTGTTATATGAAGAGAAAAAAAAACTTTAATTTCAGTCGGAAGTATCATAGTCGAGAAATAGGGAAATGTGATTGGCGTAGCCACGAGGGGAAGATGGGGGGGGGGGGGGGCTAGCCTAATACAGGCACTGTATTACATGAAGGTAAAACCAAACTTTAATTTCAGTGGGACATATCATAGTCCAGAAACAGTGAGGAAATGTGGTTGGTTTAGACATGGAGGGGGGGGGGGGGGGAGGGGGGGAGGGGGACGCTCTTCTAATACAGGCACTGTATTACATGAAGGTAAAACCAAACTGTAATTTCAGGCGACATATCATACCTGTAGTCGGGAAATAGGGAAATATAATTGGTGTAGCCACGAGGGGAAGATGGGGGGGGGGGGGGGGGCTCGCCTAATACAGGCACTGTATTACATGAAGAGAAAACAAAGCTTTAATTTCAGTGGGACATATCATAGTCCAGAAACAGTGAGGAAATGTGGTTGGTGTAGCCACGAGGGGAAGATGGGGGGGGGGGGGGGGGCTCGCCTAATACAGGCACTGTATTATATGAAGAGAAAACAAAGCTTTAATTTCAGTGGGACATATCATAGTCCAGAAACAGTGAGGAAATGTGGTTGGTGTAGCCACGAGGGAAAGGTAGGGAAGAGGCCCCCCCCCCCCTAATACAGGCTCTGTATTAAATAAAGAGAAAAAAAAACTTTAATTACAGTCGGACGTATCATACTCGAGAAAGAGTAAGGAAATGTGGTTGGTGTAGCCACGAGGGGGAGAGGGGTGGGGGGGGGGGGGGGCTTGCCTGATTCAAGCTCTGTATTAAATAAAGAGATACAATATAACAAAACTATGATTTCAGTCTGATGTTTCATAGTCGAGAAAGAGCAGGGAAATGTGATTCAGATAGCCACGGGGGAAGGGGGAGGGGGGCTCGCCTTATACAGGCACTGTATTACATGAAGAGAAAACAAAGCTTTAATTTCAGTGGGACATATCATAGTCCAGAAACAGTGAGGAAATGTGGTTGGTGTAGCCACGAGGGAAAGGTAGGGAAGAGGCCCCCCCCCCCTAATACAGGCTCTGTATTAAATAAAGAGATAACAAAATTATAATTTTAGTCGGACGTATCATAGTTGAGAAAGTGTAAGGAAACGTGGTTGGTGTAGCCATTGGGGGGGGGGGGGAACTTGTTTAATATTGTTTAATATTGAAATGCAAGCATTACTTTAAACAAACAAAACTTTGTTATTCCTGGCTCATTTTTCCCGATTGAGGTGTCGTATGAAAGGCCAGAATTTGAAATTTCTAGATACTTTCAGATATTGCCCGCCAAATGACTTTTTGGTTTCCTCTATTTAAATTGTTTTTAATCACTCATACGTGAAATATTTATCATACGAGTTGCATCAAATGAAAGAGGAGGAACTTTGCTTTACAAATATGTGTCATTTATAAATTATAATTATGATAAAACTTTGATAATTCTCGGTTTCGTTTTTTCTGGGACGCACTGTATACTTGGGTCTTGTTCTGACCTGTGAATACAAGATTCCAATATTTTTTTAATGTAGTGATAGTATTAACATTTGATCATTCATTTTTTCTGTTTTCCAGCTTCAAATAATCTACGTTGATGGAGGGCCAGCAAGTTCTTCAAGATCTCTCTAATGAGTCCATGTAAGTACTCAATATCACAGATAAATACTCAATTTCAAAGGCAGAAAGGCAATTTATGAAAAGTATTACTTTATACACAACCACAAAATATACCAAATATTGATCTGTGTTCAATTTTGGGCAAACATGACACAATCAAATCTCACGTCACCTCTCAACCGAATGTTGAAAGAAAGACGAAGGTGTTTTTTTTTTGGAGGGGGGATCTTCACTTTTGCTTATATGTATGCAAACTAAAATAGAAAAAAATACATTTACTCAAATTTAGGCCCCTAGAATAATGATTCTCTACCTAGGGCACTAACCTCCTATGACAAACTGTTAGATTATACCTGACGTTGGAATCATCAGGACCTCTATATTTACAGTGCTTGTCAAAAATTTAGATACACCCTGGATTTGAGGAAAGTTTTACTTCCAGGGCTGTGTATCTTATTTTGTGTGTGCATGAAATTCAAGCCTAATTGGTGATGAGCTCCTGTCTTCATATGCGGGACATATTGAAAAGGAATGGCAATTTTACAGGGTCGTCAGTTTTGTTGAGATGTATATGGTGATGTATTTACTACGTTCAAATGTTTAAGCTCCATTTATATGGGGGGGGGGGGGGGGGTAACCTGCAAAAACTGTATGCTGTCTTTAAAACTATGTTTATACGCAATAGAACAGAATATGCTGCATATCCCTCAAAAAGTTTAAATTCAAGCCATGGCCCAGATACCAACTATTTGTAATGTTTGTTCACATTTGTATTCATTTTCTTTAATAACACAGTGAAACATATCCGCTCCATTCCAAAAATTGAAGTTATGAACTTTTTGTTTTCTTAATTCCTCAAGAAGTTGACTAGTATAACATTGAACTTATCTTGCAATTTAAATTGTGGTATAATTCCAGCTTTAGGTATATCATATAACAAATATTAAATTAGGTACAGCAAGAAACAGTGTTTAATTAAGTTTATAAAGTTTTCCTTGTATTAAGTTGTACATTGAAATATTATTTGTATACATGATTTATACTACTATACCTTATGGTCATTTAATTTACCAGGTTTGAAGGTAACTCATTACAAAATCCATCATTACGAAAAGCTCTCGTTAAAAACTATACCCCACCACTATAGCACAGCAGTCAATGTAATCTGGTGGGGTAGCACTACCCCAGATTCGTTTCTCTCGTTAAAACTTTGTAATCTGGTGGGGTAGCAATACCCCAGTTTCGTTTCTCTCGTTAAAACTTTGAGAGAGCTACTACTGTTACACAGGCACCAATGGGAATCTGATGGGGTCTCACTACCCCACTTTCAATTCTCTCGTTAAAAACTTGGACAGAGCCTTGAGGCTCTGAGTGAGAGATTAAGATATTGGATTGCAGCTGGACTCTACATCATCTTACGTAATACTAGTGTAAACAAACTCTTACTGGGGTCTGCCTGAAAGGAAATGAGAAGTAGGACATAAGTATTTTACTTGTTTTAAGATATTTTCATTTCCTAAAGTCACTAATAATTTAGATGAAGACCAAAATGAAAGTTCGAACGAAGCAAAATGACCCATATAATTGGCGATATAACAACAATTTTAACTCTGGCAGCGAACCCCTGCATGTGTCTCTTTCTCCCTTCTCCCTTCCTTTCCCCTTGTATCATGCTTATCTCTCTCTCGCTATCACCTCATCAAGGTCTCGGTGGGGGTGGATTACAGCGCTAGTGTTTACTTAGGGCTTATCACAATCTCAGCTCTAGTACAAGTAGAAATGGTGAAAGTCAAAGGGGGTTTCAATTTTAAACGACGAGTTTTCGTCATGATGGTGAACTTATACCTACTATCACTGTATAAAAGAAAATTGCCATCCCAGTCAAGAACGTACAACAAAGAGTGTGAAGCAATACATTTAAACAACTTCTTCCTTTCTCTTTTTTGTTGTTGATTGGCAATTAGGAGACGTACATGTAGAAGATAACATGAATAATGGTGTTAGAGCCGAACCTCCTGAAGATGGTAAGTTTTTAATTTTTTTATTCACTGGTGCTTATTAAAAACATTATAATAAATGCCGTTGAAAAAGAATGGGAAAGAAACATTGTTAGGCTATTGCTGCATGAATACTAAAACAAGTTGATACAAGTCTGTAACCAAATTTTGTTTAGCTTATGTAAATTAGGGGATGTTATAATTGGTTTTCTATCAATTCTGAAGTAATACAATATTTTAAAACACGTTTATAATTATGACGATTTAATTTTTGCCGGGAAGTTAAATTGCTTGTTCTGGCTTTTTTGTTCCCAGCAAAAACATTGTGTAGCTAAAATACCATAATATATGCAAATGAAAGATATACTAGCAAATTAATTTGAAAACATAATCAATCTGGTAAATATCTTTCTCGAAAAATAGTTTTGGCTACATATGGAACATAGAAACAATGTCGTTTATAGAAGTTGAGAAGTCGTTTGAGAAGTAGTTGCTTAAACTTAAACAGCTTGAGATGAGACCTTTTACCGGCCAACCAACAACATTTGTGTATTAATTTGTGCATTTACACATTGAAATTTATATTGATTCAATTCAGATTGCAATTTGGCAGCAACTGTGGCCAATAAAGCAACTAAAAAGGTATTGATTTCATTGTTAATCCTTTAAAAAAATCTTTGGATGGCAATTCTGTAATTTTATTGAGTCCCACATCTTCTCTTTTACTTGAAAACAAGATACTTCTTAATTTCATCTGCGTACATGTAGGAGCAAAGCTACATGTATGTGCTTGATAGTGTATTCATAAAAGGTAATACTGTTTTTATGTTAAAAAGCTTTGAAGTTGATACAAGAAAATATCATGCCAAATGCAAATATTAATGATACTGGTAATGATTCCTCTAAATATTTATATTGGTATTGTTCCTCTTAAATGCTGGAGCATTCGTTATCAGTGTCATATACATTCATTTTATGTAAGAGTAAATGCATTTCACTTTACTGTCCCAATCGCTTCCACAGTAGACTTATAAATACTGTCAACAAATGTTTCCTTGCAATTTTTTACAAAATTCTGGTCGAATCACTAATTCAAATAATAGATTCATGAAGGCTAATGTCAAGTTAGAATGTGAGTTAAATCTTTTCAAGGTCAAAGCTTTAAGGTCAATAAATTCTCCTAGAAAAGCTTTAAATCTTTTGCATTTAACAATCTACTCATTCAAGTTTAGTTCATTAATTTGAGGTTATTTGATATGAATGTTTTTATATACTGTATTTTACATTTGTAAAACATTGCCCAATTCGGCCTTGTAGGCCGCAATGCATTGTTGTTCTTTTATTCTCAATAAAACAATTATCTATCTATCTATCTAATGAGTATTATGTGTTCATACCTATATGCTTTCTAAATTACTTTCAAATATTTCTCTCTATATGTTTGTAGAAGCAGAGAATTAAGAGATGATGCCCAATGCGTCCCACGTTGACAGATCAGATGTCCCGCCACCTGATTTATAAACACAAGGTTTCCGACAAAGACAAGAGACTAACCCTACTCCAGCTGGCATGAGAAGAGTAATCGATCTGTAACCGAATGTATGTTATAATTATTTGTGGATTTATAACATGTGGTATCATAAAAAAATCTGAATCAATATAGAATAAGTTAATGATATATATTTGCCTCCATTACAGAAGCTCAGGGATTTTAGGCAATTAATTACGTCAGATGAGCATATTTAGATACCTTATTTGTGACACTGACATGCAAGTCATTAATTGGAGTGGGGTCCGGGGGCAGAGCCCCCAGCAGCTCAGGGAAGGGGTTTAGGCATTTAATCACAGTCAGATGAACAACCAGGGGCCTGCTTTAGGGCCCTTGGTGGGGTCCACGGCAGAGCCCCCGGAAGTTCAGGGAAAAATCATGCCATTTCAGCAACTTTTGAAATCATGTATGCATTTTATTAGGGGGGGGGGGGCATCAGTACGCCAGTGCTAGGGAGCATAGTGAACGAAAGCAGTGATGGTGATGGAAGTGACTGCCCCCTCACTGGTTTTTGAAGTTTTGTTTTCATTCCTTAGCTAAACTATTGGATATAAACAAGTAATTTACTTTTTTCACCCTGCACTTTGCTGCAATATTTACTTGTACAATTTGAAGGATGTGAGGGAGCGTATTTCCCAAGTGAGAAGATTTTTGCATTTTTATTTGTCTAAATGCTGCACTTTTAGGCCCACCAGAGCCTAAAAGTGTGTTGCAGTATTTAGTCAGTTTTTGCTATACAATTTGTTTTGCACTTTTTCAAATTTTCCGGGGGAGGGGGGGGGGGGGGAATGTCCCCCCTCCCGCCGGGATTGCCGCCCATGGCTTGTAGACCCCCTAAATTTTAGCTAGTCACATCACAGAGACAAGGCATAATCACCCTAATAGCAAAAAAGGGCAAGGATAAAATGTTTATAGAAAATTATAGACCCATAATACGTTGAAATTAAGATTGGTTCTAAAGCCTTAGCGCGGAGACTTAAAACTATTTTACCATCACTAATTCATCTAAACCAAGTTGCCTTTGTTAAAAATAGATTCATCAGAGAAACTGTGAGAACAGTGATCGAGACTATGTTTTACTCTAGGTTTAAATGAATCTGGGAAATTTTTATTAAGTCTCGATTTCAAAAAAGCCTTTTATTCTCTAAATCATCAATTTCTATTTGAAGTGTTGAAATGTCTCAATTTCGGAAATAGTTTTGCAATTTTGTCAATGTTCTTTGTAGGGACATGGAAACCTGTGTAATGAACAATGACATTTAAACTAGATTTTTTCCTGGAGGAAAAGGAGTAAGACAAGGGGCCTTCTTTCTCCATACCTCTTCATGTTAGCAATAGAAACACTGGCAACAAATATAAGAATAAACCTAAAAATCCAGGGCATAAAGTTAAACAATATTCAAAAAATAAAACTCTCTATGTACACAGACAACATAACAATACTTTTGTTAAATTTCGAATCATATTCTAAATGGCTATGCTTCATGATTTTCAAATTTGTTTGTCACTTTCACTGAATTATGAAAAGACGAAGGCAATGTTTATAGGACACTTTAACGTACAAAACCCATTAATTCCAATAAATATAAGGTTTGATCATGTTTTGACAATTAATTCTCGGAATCGATATCTCCTACTCTTTTGAAGATAGAATGGCACAACTCCAAATAATTGTATCCAATATCAAATCTCAACTGAACTTATGTAAAGCCAGGAATCTGTCACTATATGGAAAAATTCAAATAGTTAAAACTTTTGCTATTTCCCAGCTGATATATGTAGCCAGCATAGTTTCCATTCCTGATTCATTTATTCATAAGGTTAACACAGTACTATACAAATGTGTATGGGGTGGCCCAGATAGAATAAAACTTGGTAAAAGAGAAAAGTGATGGAAGTTTTAAAGATGACTTGTATTCGAATGGGTTACAAGACTATTCACATCAACTTCTATAGGTTAGAAAAACATACGCTTAGAATTATTGTCACCAGTTGGCGGAAAATAATGTATTTTTTGTAATTTTGATATGAAATATTTAAACATTGAAGTGTCAAACAGGTTCAGGGAAATTTTAGAAACATAGAGTCTTTTGAATAGAAAAAAATGATATTGCATGCTAATCAATGTATTTGGAATAACAAAACTATCATATCAAACAGAAAATCTATATTTAAACCAGAAATAAAGAAAAGGGTTTTGTAAAAATTGCAGATATGTAGATAAATTTGGACGTCCACTGCGATGGAAAGACTGTAAAGAAAAGGAACTAAAGTTCACTGATTTTTTTTGTATTGTTAGACTATTATAAAAAGATACCACGAGCATGGAAGCATTTCTTTTTGCAGCATAACTATCACCATCTAGTTATAAAGATCTAAGATATTTTCCTTCTGTTTGCTGTGATTCCGAATTCAAACAAATTCATAACATAACGACGAAGCAAATTTATCGAACTTTTCTAAGACTTAATAACCCTGAAATCTCAAAAGTATTTACTCGTTTCAATGAGCTGTATTATATGAATGAGCAACAAGTGTCAAATCTTTTCACTCTACCAGCAAATGTTGCTATTGACTCCAGACTTCGAATTTATACACACTTTAAAATTTTGAATAATCTAATACCAACTAATGAATGCCTGGCACGTACAGGAAGGAAAAGTAGTTCACTGTGCTTAATTTGCAATGCGACACCCGAGACAATGGATCTTTTTTTTTTTTTACATGTCCTAAGATTGCAGCCTTTTGGAATGCGCTACGCAGAAGAGCGACGGATTTTAATCCTGATTATTTTCTTTCAGGCAAAAACATTTTATTTGGAATTACTGAACCAAAAAGTCAAGCCAACTTAGCTTTTAATGTTCTTACTATACGGTAAACAGTTCATTTTATGTTGTAAATATCAAGAGATTACGCCTAGCTTGAAACAATTTAATAATTATATTTGTCTTATAAATCCACTGAAGAAGATATTGCAAAAAAAGAAAAGTTGGTAGAGCAGTGGTCTCGTAATCCGGCGACCCAGGTTCGAAACCAAGGCAATGCGCTATAGTGCCCTTTGGTAAGGCATTAATCCTCATTACCAGGTTTATCGGAGAGCACCTAAAGCCGTCGGTCCTGTGGTTGCTAACCAACAAGCATTAATGCTATCTTAGTAGTCAGGTAAAATAACCACCACTAAACCACCACCACAAATTTTAGAAGCATATGGCAAAACATCAGCAAGTATTTCTGCATACAAAAAGTTTCAAGGGATAGATTTGTTTGTTTTTTATACAAAATTTTATTTTCCTGTTGTGATGTATTTGATGTACTATATTCCATTATGTAATAGAAAAGGTCAGATTATATTGTGCGTTATGTCCCGGCGGTGCAGCCGAGGGGGGGGGGGGGGGGGCTATATGTTCTTAACCTCTCTCTTTCCATTTTGTGTCGATCTGATGGTCATATCGTCTGTGCGGTTGGGGTATGCAGAAGTATCATGCTATGTGTTTTTTTCAATGTTACGCTGTAATGTAAAACAACATGACTGTAAGTGTAAAACAATATGATAATTCATTTATTTTTTCTGCAAAAAAATGTAACGCATATTCTGTAAATCATTGTGTTTTCTGACCAATAAAACTTATCAAGATAAAAAACAAACAAAAACATGAATGGTGAACAGATGAAGTGTATCCGGGGGCGGATCCAGGAATTTCTTACGGGGGGGGGGGGCACAAAACGGGCTGAAAATTTCACGACTCAGCCAGCCGCTGAATAAGCAGAGGGGGGGGGGGGGGTAAATAAGTGGACATATATATTTTTTTTTTTGCTCCGAAAATTTGAAAATTGCGACGGCCGCAAATACGGTCAGTGGGGGGGGGGGGGGCACGTGCCACCTGTGACCCCCCCTGTGACCCCCCCCCCTGGATCCGTCCCTGGTATCAGTAAATACATAATTCCTCCTTGTATTGTCATGTCTTTCATGACTATCCTAGTCTGTAATGCTTTTATATGCTAGAATTTGTTACAATTATGTTTTACAATTGAATCTGTTTTTTTTTAATGAATTATGTGAGAGAAAAACAATAGAAAATGTTGTAACCAAGATACCCAGAAATGAGTATTTATTAAGTAAAGTGCCTCCAGGCAACAATTAGTGATGATAATAATAGGGACTTATGACTATGTCATGTGATGGTTCTGTAAGTAAAACTCCTACAATGGCTTCTATAGTAAGGGACGACAACTGATGGAAGTTCTTTTTTTCTTCATTTGTTTAAATTGATACAGAAGTACAATCATGTATAATTTGGGACTGCATGGGATATATTATATTGGCATCTATGCTATGAAATTTGAACTTTTTTTTAAAATTCAAAATGATTAGTGTCCATTCATTTCATCAGATGTCAAATGAATTGTCTCATCTGTTAACGCTGTAGATATGTGAAATAAAGTTCCCTGAAAGGGTTAAAAAGAAGAAAAAAGTCGGCTATGAGACAGTAGTGTCATATTTTCATTGTTTAGTTTGGATGTTTGTGATTGAGGCCAATATAGAGTCTGAAAATATGAATTAATAAAATTCATCTCTGTATTCATGACGCTATTTCATTTAAGAAGATAGAAAGATGAATGCACTCACTTCGTTTGCCTTATTTTTAATACTGAAAAGGCTGGTGAAATTTCTTTAAGATTGTTTTTCTTAAAATTAGATGTAAGGGATATTATAGAAAGACACACTGTAATTTGAAGCAAAGAGCAAAGCAAACTGATTAAACATCTATAGTGTACAGTTTGTAGAAATTGATCATTTGTTTGACATGTTAACATTATGTAACATCCGAAACAAACCATAGCTTACACTGTCTTTCATAACATGCTACAGAGTGAATGTTTGCAAGTGAATTTTCGAAGGAGTTTTGATGTTTACAATTGTTATTAGCTTCATATCTTACTCTCTATTAGATCACATTCATAAGCATTGAGTTGTTGATAAAGAAAACTACACACATGCATATGTGCTAAACTGATTAAAATTTG